AGTTCAATCTAGAACACGTTTTTCAGTCGTGTACTCAAAGTATTCGTTCTCTAGCTATATGTTTAGCGTTCATAACAAGTGGACGCGCGACTTAGAGGCTGTGATTAATTTCACTTTTAAATACTACACATAGTTTTATTGCAGCGATAATTTGTTTGTCTTTAAAATACGAATCAAACTGATTTATTTTCCATTCAATGTGCATTCAAATGCATTTGATGTTTTCTAACAACTCCTTTTTTTATTGCGTTCAGTGTGGACACTGTAAGTTATGAACGCTTGATTTATTTTATTTTCGTTCAAATGCGTTTTTTAATAATTCTTTTTTAAAAAACACTACTCAGAGTGTAAATCCATATATTTTTCTATTCTAATCAGAAAAAAAATCTGTATTAAATCCAATTCCAACATCCAATGCAGTAGTGCAGTCTGACAGCCACTTGATTGTAACATATAAACGTGAAAAAAGCACTGCATTTTCAACAAAACAAATGATATATTTTTTGGTTTCAGCATTTCATAAATATAATTTTGGTGTGTGTAGAATCTACAAAGTAAGCAGGTTATTTTGATATGCCCATGATACTAATAATTCAATGCTTTTTTGAGAAATTGGATATTTAATACCACTCATGTCAGCTGACCCAGTATGAAATATGTGCACATTAACATTTAGTGGTAACTGTAAAACCTACAGTATACAAGTATGAGACAAGAATTTGATGAAATGCAAAACGACTGCAATATAAAAATGTATACTTGTAAATTGTAAAACAGATTTCCTGCGATGAATTGCCTCTGTAGACTGTGCTTACTACTCTGGTTATCAGTCATTATTATCAATCAACATTATGTAGTAAAACTTGTTTAGTACGAACACAGATATTGCAAATTCACAGATATAGTAAAGTTATCTTGGATCCCCAGCTTTATAAAGAACTATATGCGGTATATTGCATATATTTGCCCCCACAAAAGTCAAATTTTGAAAACTTCCTGAAATGTGCTGAATTCAATAAATTGTATGAGAAATATAAATTAACAGAAAATATTATAGTGTCAAAGCCCTGTATTCACAATTTTTGTTTTTATGACGTCACAAACTAGTCCGATTTTATATCCTTTTTCAGAAAGAGGACAAAATAGACAAAATTTCAACAATTTTAGCATTAAAATTTATAAAGTGCAAGTTTGTTCAGGAACAATATTGACATATTTCATTGATATTATCATTCTACACATTATATCAAAATATTGATCCTGAACACACATGCGCTCGGTGACTTTTACTCAAAATATCGACCAAATATGTACATTTTTCTGTAAAATTCATACAAAAATGGATATTTACGTCATGTTTGTGACGTCATTACGTACATATGGCGTCATTACTTATGAAAATATTCAGTGCTTTGAAGTCAGTACTCCCCTGTTTAAGAACTTAATTAAATATATATCCATCAAAGTTTGATTTGGGGGGCAAATATTGGTTAATACCGAATAAAGTTCTTTAACGAATTCCTTATATGAAAATAACAAATTACGGATATGGAAAAGTAATTCCATAGGTACCAGTGACTTCGTTATAACCCAGTTTTACATCTTTATACCTGTATTGTGATGATATCTGTATACCTGTATTGTGATGATATCTGTATACCTGTATTGTGATGATATCTCTATACCTGTATTGTGATGATATCTCTATACCTGTATTGTGATGATATCTCTATACCTGTATTGTGATGATATCTCTATACCTGTATTGTGATGTGATGATATCTTTATACCTGTATTGTGATGATATCTTTATACCTGTACTGTGATGATATCTCTATACCTGTATTGTGATGATATCTTTATACCTGTATTGTGATGATATCTTTATACCTGTATTGTGATGATATCTTTATACCTGTATTATAATGATATCTTTATACCTGTATTGTGATGATATCTTTATACCTGTATTGTGATGATATCTTTATACCTGTATTGTGATGATATCTTTATACCTGTATTGTGATGATATCTGTATACCTGTATTGTGATGATATCTTTATACCTGTATTGTGATGATATCTTTATACCTGTATTGTGATGATATCTTTATACCTGTATTGTGATGATATCTTTATACCTGTATTGTGATGATATCTCTATACCTGTATTGTGATGATATCTTTATACCTGTATTGTGATGATATCTTTTCTTGTAAATGGTTCATCTGTCAGTAGGTCTTTGAAGAAACTGGGTTTTATGTTCAGTCTTTCCACAGCCTGAAATTTCAATTCTCTGTGTATCAGTGTTTTCAAATGATATATTTTAATCAAATCTGCTTGATATCAAAATCATTATTTGAATCTAATTAAATACATATGTAGTTCCCAAAATAAAATTATTACATTTATTACATTTATTTGTGTACAAAATATATCAAATTTGGGAATACAAAATAATTAAAATAAATTTTATATACAAATTTCATAACAGCTGCTGATGGTCATAAAATCATGAAAAATACATTAAGTCAGACAGGTAAAAAACAGGACTCACATCCATACAGAAGACATTTCCTGTCTGTTTGATGGCCACAATGTGTGTGTTCTCATTGAATACTTTGAATGTGACTGGACAGTGATATTTCCCTGCAGACAAAAAATCATAAATTGGTAATTCTGATTTACAATAAGAAGCATCAATCACTAGTTATTGAAGAGTTTACTCACCATCTCCATTCTTGTGAAAATTTAACTTGATCAACTCTTTTGCACTGAGTTTCTATAAAAATAAGTGCAATACAAACAAAATTAACACCCACAGTATGATTAAATATGTCACAACAAGTCAATTAAGTTGTTTTAAAAATCAAAGCAGATAGCACAAATCTACCTCTCCTGAAACTGGGTTTATACCATACTTCTTAAGAAATGGTACAATGTTCCTAGAAATAAGAAAAAAGAACACTCAAATATTGTACTGGTACATTAATTCTTCTTTTAGAGGAATAATTCTAAAAAGCAGATGTAAAAATAATTATATGTATTTCTAATGAAATACATTTACTGCCTACTCATCATCCATAATCTCACATGCTAATTTGTATTAAAATGCTACCAATAATTAATAAGCAGATTTTGTGACTGTTATTAATATGTACTGGAAAAACAATGTCTCTAAAATATTCACTTGAATACTTGAACTCAAACAATCTAAATAAATGATAACAATTCCTAGCTTCACTTAAGTATTAAATGGTTTTTGTGTGATGGTCCTCTGAAACTCTTAATCTCACTAAGATAGAAAGTCTGAACGATCCAAGAAAAATGTGTGCCAAAATACAATAAATGCTTACACATCATGAACATTTACAGAAACTTACATCAAGTCAAAAACAGCACCCTCTTTGGTGCAGAGAGGATTCTCAAAAGGCTGGAATGAGAGGCTATAAAAAAGGAACAGAATTTTAATGTTGTATTGTTCCAGAATGCTTTTAGTTGTTAGAAATTTTGTTGAATATTTGCAATATAAATATTAATAAATATCATTTCATTTTTTAAGAAGTTACCTGCAGCAACTGAATGGAAGTCTCCTGAATTTTGAGTTCTCTCCTGTAGCTGACTTTCCCTTGTATCCTCCAAATTCTGTCCTCCATTCTGTGTTTGTGAGATATCTTCAAAACAATATCAATTCCACTATTTTGGTAATGTTACATTACCAATTTAATCCAATGTTTATGTTATACAAAATATAACAACTTCAGCAATCTAATTAAAATTAAATGTTAGATCCACTCGCACACTTGCTACACTAGTGTGAGTGTGAGTGGATCTAACAATGTTAGTACAGACCTGTTTACCTAATCGTTGTTGCTCAGTATTTTTTATTAGAATTGTTCGTTAGATTTGGCATTTTGCCAGTAAGATTTCACTTCCCATTGATTTTACATATATTCATAGACAATGTCTGCTTTTCTGATTTAAAAATAAACATGGCTTAACAACATGGTCTTTGTCATTTTATAATATACCACTGCGCTTTGGCAACCCGACATCACTTATGTGTTTGTAATCCTTCTCTTTTAAGCGATTAACAAGCTTGAAACTAAGACCGATCATAACAAAAATTAACTGCTAAATTTCAAACGTCAAATATTTCCGATTTCCGTATATTCGTAATAGCAAAACATGAGACCTATTTTAAACTAAAAATCCGTACAAATTAAATATGGCGAAATCGTAAGAGTAAACAGGTCTGTTCGTAACATCTAATTCAACATATTTCATAGGTTGCAACTTTATAAGATAAACGGCAGTCTTAAATCCCAATCAATGAGTCAGAGCATATATATATTTGATTTACATATTCAATACACGTCAAACTTTACATTTCTGGACATCATTAACTGATTCAGAATCTACTTCATCATTCATTCTCATTTGTTGTCATTTTAATTTTTTTCATTATTCACCAGTATTACAACAAAATGATTAACTGTAGATTAAAGTGCTTAAGATTAAAGCATTGAGTCAAAGCGCAAATATGTAATTGTAAACTGACTTATTAGAAAGACAAGGGACTACTTTTTTGATAGTCAGTCATTATAAATTTAGCCTTCAAATTTGATTATTTTTTTTTAAATTAGTTGAAATCTACTCATTTAATGAGTATTCTACTAAGAAAGCAAGCCAAACTCGTCAGTTTTACTCACAATTTGTCTTTTTGGTGTTGTTTCTTCCCCATTTTTTTTTTCTTATTTCGTAGATTGTTTTGCAGGAAATTGAAAAACGTTCACTAAAATTAAAACTCCTCACTAATGACTGTGAACTATTGCGATCCGATATGTAATTTAAAAAAAACATTGATTGTAAAAATATCGCCAAATATTGATAATAATAAAAATTGAGTTCATTGATATCACATTAATTTTTTCTTAAACCTTCTGTAAAGACTGTGATATTTTCCCTTTGTTTCCCCCTCTTTCAACACTGCATGATTTTCCCGCACATTAGGCGCACCACATTCGGAGTTCCCTCGCACACCAACACCGAAAACAAAAATGAAATTGGGTACAAAGATGAAATAATCGACGCAATGAAAAGTATTGTATCTCAGTTAAAGGCTTCCCCAAAGGGACAGCTCAAATATGAAAGAGATCCTAACATTGAAAAGGTATTTTAAATATTGATTGTTGAATGGGTACTTGGGTTTTAAATCTAGACCAAATGATGTAGGCCTATGACATAAAGAAGTTTCATAGGCATGGTACATATTCATATATGGACTGTTTATATAGATATTTTGGAAACTTGGTATATTTACAGAGACCTTTATACCTTGTATATATTCCCTGATATTTACAAGAATTAACATTAATTTCAACATGGATGAACCATCTCATTTCTCAGGATGGCTAACTCAGTAACTGATCTCTGTACTTAATCATCTCTGATCATTTCATTCTGAAGCAGTTAGGAGTTAAGCTCACCTGATCTGACGGCTCAAGTGATCTTTTCTAATTAAAGAGCTTTTGTCCTGTCTGACATTTCTCAACTTTTTACATCTTGACTTCTGTACCAGATTTGCCCGAAAACATCCCAGGGTGAAGGGGAATCAAATTACAAAAAAAGGCCCACATCCTGATTGAAGGCAAGAAATTATGGGGAAGACTTAATGAGGTCAGGTCAGATAAGAATCTTCCTCTGAAGAGACCAAAAAGATGAAACTTAATTCTAAGAAACTTCTTATTACAAAGTGTTGTTTTGAGTTTTCAAATCTTTGATCTTGATGGGGGTAGAATTTACTTTTGCTGGGAAAATATTTATTAATCTTGTGATAACAGGGACAAGGTGAATAAGGTGAGCATTATGACCCATGGACCTCTGGTTCACTATTCAGTTTTTCTCAGCTTCTGTAATATTAAACATTAAAATTTTTTATAAAAAGATGAGTTACTGTAATTGTACTTTTTTCCTACAGGATCATGAACAAGATGATTTCAGAAATCCACAGAATCATATTTTATGTTCAGTCTATGCAAAAGAAAATTGCACAAATTTCTTGGGACTGTTTTATATATCTTAAATGCACTTTTAGCACAAAGTGTCAAATTTTCAGTGAAATTTGTGACCCCTTTCTTATAGCATAAATTAATCCCATGCAGAAAAAAAGCACATACATGTATACAGTATTTTGACAACTTTTAGAATCATTTATTTTATACAGGAATACTTTGACAAATATCTGTCACCCCCAAAGTTGAGCACACACCACTCCGAGATGTCAACACAGAACAGTTTTTATGTACAAGAGGAAGATGAGGGAGAATCATCAGAGAGGTAAGATAAAGATTGTAGCTAATACTAGACTAAGTACACTTGTACTAGCAGTCAATGGAATGTGATTGGTTACATTCTAATATACCATTCAAATTACTTATCTTACCAGGGATTTATCTAGCTATTTTGTTTTACTACCGTTTTATAAGTAAAGGGGAAAAATGAGAGGCGCAGGCTCGATCTGAGCGCTGGAGGCGCGAGTATTCTAGGGGGGTCCGGGGGCATGCCCCCCCGGAAAATTTTTAAATAAATGGAGCAAAATCCTGCATTCTTAGAGCTTCTGAGGGTCATTTGTAGACCTTTACAAAAGCCACAAAAACTTCACTTTTGAGACAAAATATTAAATAACAAAAAAAAAAAATTTAAACCAAGTCAGTACTTTATTTAATTTTTTCTCTCAATATCTATCACAAATCAATTCTGTCTTTCATGTTTCACTACTAACATTGTTTTTGTTGTTACTCCATTCTTCCGATTCATAGTGATTTAAGCTCCATCTTACTCATCTACACTTTTCTTAACTCTGCAATCGCATACGTATATTTTGACATCATGGCCACATGGCACATGTTTACCGATCAATATCAACTAGAAGCTTGAATAATCTACTCTCGCTTTTAAAAGCATTTGAATGACTAGGATTGTGAATTAGGATATGCTGTTAAACTTCAATCGGACAAAAACAGAAAATTTCAGTACGATGTTTTAAATATTCTCAGTTTAATTGGAGACTTTTCTATCTGAAAAAGGGGAATTTTTCACCTTTTTAAAGAGGGGAAAGGTACCGTTTACCGGTAGTAAAAACAGCCTTGATGAATCCCTGCTTACCATCATGGTTTCCTGTTTTTTTTCCCCAGAAAACAGATCCAGAATAAAATATTTTACTGGGAATATAAAGCATGATTAATTATATTATACATTATGATTATGATATTATACCCACAGATTTCTGAATATTTCTTATTTATTTAAATTTCTAATAGCATATAAATTCAGTTTGATTATTTTTCAGTGACATATCTGAGAGCATAAGGAACCTGAAGGTTCAAATTAAAAACAAAGTCAGGAAACCAAACAAGGCGAAAGTTCAGTTCACCACCAAGAACCACCCCTCTGTGAGTGACATGACTATCCAGGTATCTAACAGGAGATCAGACCCTACATACGCGGACACTAAAAGAAACGCCGGTCAAATCAAAGTCAGCTTCAGTAACGATCTCTGTAAAGATAACCACAAAAAGAAGGGGCGATTGACGGAGAAGCCATTGGATCTACCAAGTGTTGATAAGGCTGCCTCAGAGAAGTTTATTGTGTCACCGGAGTACAACAGAAGTAGGCGAGGCATTCAAGATTACGAAGAGGAACGTATTAAAGAGTCAAAAGTAAGAAAACTTGGTGAAAAAAAGCAACTGAAAAAACTGTGAACTGTTTACACTGTTAAGTTGTTGTAGCATGTAAATTGCAGGAAGCCCTAAATTATCAAATTCAGTTATTCTTTTTGTTTCATCAGACTGAATTTGAAAGAAAAAGACGGCAGTTTAAGGAAGCTGGGAGAAAAATCAACAGGAAAGCAGAAAGGCAAATTAATGAGTATGAAAACAAAAGGCAAGAAAAAGCAGCTTCACAACAGAAACAAATGGATCAGCTGGAGAAGCAAGGGTAAATAAGGGGGGATGGATAACTAAAGAGATACAGGGATAAATAAGGGGGAGGGGATAGCTCAAGAGAAACAAGGGTAAATAAGGGGATGTGAATGGATAACTAAAGAGAAACAAGGGTAAATAAGGGGGGAATGGATAACTAAAGAGAAACAAGGGTAAATAAGGGGGAATGGATAACTAAAGAGGAACAAGGGTAAATAAGGGGGAATGGATAACTAAAGAGAAACAAGGGTAAATAAGGGGGAATGGATAACTCAAGAGAAACAAGGGTAAATAAGGGGGAATGGATAACTCAAGAGAAACAAGGGTTAATAAGGGGGAATGGATAACTAAAGAGAAACAAGGGTAAATAAGGGGGAATGGATAACTAAAGAGGAACAAGGGTAAATAAGGGGGAATGGATAACTAAAGAGAAACAAGGGTAAATAAGGGGGAATGGATAACTAAAGAGAAACAAGGGTAAATAAGGGGGAATGGATAACTAAAGAGGAACAAGGGTAAATAAGGGGGAATGGATAACTCAAGAGAAACAAGGGTTAATAAGGGGGAAATGGATAACTCAAGAGAAACAAGGATAAATAAGGGGGAATGGGTAACTAAAGAAAAACAAGGGTAAATAAGGGGGGATAATTAAAGAGTTACAGAGATAAAGAAGGGGAATGTATAACTTAAGAGAAACAAGGATAAATAAGGGGAGGGGAAGGGGGAATGGATAACCAAAGAGAAACAAGTGGAAATTAGGGGGAGGGGAAATGGGAGTGGACAACTAAAGAGAAACAAGGGGAAATAAGGGGGAATGGATAACTAAAGAGAAACAAGGGGAAATAAGGGGGGATAACTAAAGAGTTACAGTGCTAAATAAGAGTGAATGGATAACTAAAGAGAAACAAAGCTAAATAAGGGGGAATGGATAACTAAAGAGATACTAGGGTAAATAAGGGTATGTGAATAGATATCGAAAGAGAAACAAGGGTAAATAAGGGGGAGGGGAATGGATAACTAAAGAGAAACAAGGGTAAATAAGGGGAAGGGGGAATGGATAACTAAAGAGATACTTGAGTGAATAAGGGGATGTGAATAGATAACTAAAGAGAAACAAGGGTAAATAAGGGGGAGGGGAAGGGGGAATGGATAACTAAAGAGAAACAAGGGTAAATAAGGGGTGATGTATAACTAAAGAGATAAAATGGTAAATAAAAAGGAGAGGGAATGGATAACTAAAGGAAAACAGGGATGAATAAGGGGGGGGGACAACTAAAGAGATACAGTGCTAAATAAAGAGAAACAAGGCTAAATAAGGGGGATAACTATAGAGTTACAGTGCTAAATAAGGGAGAATGGATAACTAAAGAGATAAAAGGGTAAATACGAGGGAATTTATTACTAAATAGATACAAGGCTAAGTAAGGGGGAATGGATAACTCAAGAGAAACAAGGCTTAATAAGGGGAATAACTTAAGAGATACAGGGCTAAGTAAGGGAGAATGGATTATAAAGTGATGCAGGAGAAAGTGGGATAAAAAGGGGAAGATGGATAGAATTACGGGTAAATAAGGGGAAGAGGGAACACATAACTAAGGAGGAACAGTTTAAAAGGGGAAGTAGGGACAAAGGGGGTTTGAGAAGACAAAAAAAGAAGATTATTTAAATAAATTGTATAAAGATATTTTTTCAAGTTATTAAAGATAAAAAAAATTTTAAACTGTTTATTACAGGTCAGCAGAGTTGTTGGAAAAGCAGATGAAAATGATACAGGGCTATATTCATCATGCAAAGGTCTGTCGAGATTTTACTAAATTTTATATTTTATATATGATTGATTCCTACCTCTCTGATCGCCTGAGATTCAACACTGCAAATAAAATACTATGCTATATTCACTTGCACATAGCCTTCCAGGTGCATGTAAGGATTTATTTTTCTTGGAATTAGACTAAAATTAGATTTTGAAATTACAAATTGATACATGTAGTCTTGGAAAGTTTATTCACTTGCACCTGACTTCCACACATTTGAACATAACTTTATTAAAGATTGAAGACTTTCAAATCTAGATTTTATACTTTGTAATCATAATTAAATATATTTTCTTGTTAGATGGTGGAAAAGAAACAAGAGAGAATTCAAGAAGAAATGAAGAAGAAGTTTGTATTTCATTTATTTAGAATGTTATAAAAGTATCAGTACTTGTTGGTTTTGATGTTCAACACATGTTTTGTTCACTGAGAGCTTAAAAGATATGTTTTAAGTCATTCACAAAGTATTAGATCAGATTAAAGAAATTTTTAGTAGTTAAAGTTTACTTACAAAATTTTGAAAAATTATATCCTTTTTAAGCATAAATGTAAATAGGGCTAGGACATGTAGTGTTTGTCATATTCTTCTTCATTTGTACTTCCATCTGTCATCAAACTACACTCTAGCAAATAGCTAAGTTTACCAACAGACAACTTGTATTTACTGATTTCTTATAAGATGCAAAAGTGTTCAAAGCTGTCAGTTGATTGTTTGAAAAACATTAAGGTTTTAGTGTACGTCTGGCCCTGTCCTCTTCTTCACATATGTAAATTATATATTATTTTTCTGTTTACCAGGGAGGCAGAAAGGCTTAAGATATTGGAGAAAGTTAAAAGCATTGTGAGTGATTCCAAGACTATCCTCGACAAAGTAAAAACAATGTACAATGCCTATGCTGCGAAGCTCCCAGAGAGTGTAGCTAAAGGAATACAGAGCGCCCAGCAGAGGTATAACATGTCACAGCAGATAGTGTCTCCAGAGGACAGCAGGCCAGAGATCACAAATCAACATATCATCACTATCACAGAAAACTTCAGGTTTCTGTCCAACACCCACGACTTTGTCAAACAATCCATACGTAAGTCTTTGACACAATTAAAATTTCCAGAGAGAGAGAAAGAGCACAAAATATTCATTTATCAAAGGTGCTTGCTGTAAATAATTTATTTACTTCAAAATATAATTAAATGTTGATGTGTTTTTTGGGATTTCAGAGGAGGTAAAAGAGAAAGAGAAGGAGGCGCTGGAGGCCAAAGTGAAGGCAGAAGAGGAGGCGAGGAAGAAGGCAGAGGAAGAGGCCAGCAAGCCAGCCGAAGCTGCCTCCTCTGTAAGAATACATCAGTAAAATACCAACAAAACAAAGACTGGGAAACAATTATAAACTGCTACATCAGAACTGACATTGGAGCTGTATAATCAAATTATTTTTCTTGAAGGTTGGTTCTCCTGGACAGCCATTGGTCTCCTCCACTCCTATACCAGGAGCCACCTCCCAGGAGACGCAGGGGGCAACAGGTGGGGTCCCAGTGGCCACAGGTCCCACAGCAACCCCACAAATCAGTCCAGCAGGTACTTGTAAATACATTCCCATTGTAGCCATTTATAACTGACTTTGTTTTTACATGTACATGTTTGTACTTAATGGAATACCTGGGGAAGGCACTTCAACATCTCAGTACCCACCCATAGAGGCAAAAATCTTTACTTGAAAGACGATCTATCTACTCATTTTAAGGAATTCACTTACCATCAGAAGTGATTTTTGTTTTTGGAAGTGCATGTTTTCCTTAAAATTGCCCCCCCTTCAAATCCACCAATATGTTAAGGAAGCAAATGCTAGATACTTAACTTAAATTTGGAAATGCTCAATATTACAGTACATTGTACCAATTGTACAGACTGAGTGCAGTTTGGCTTCCCTTGACTCCATCTTACTCTGCTTTAGATTAAGAGTATGCTAGTTAGTTATAGAGTAACATTCTTCATTGACTATGTTACAGAGGGAGAGGTCCTGTGTGTAGACATGGAAGCTTTCCAGGAATACACCGGACTTCAACAAATGCTCAAAGATGCAGAGGAAGCCATACAGGTCTTGTCCTCTACTCAACAGGTAGGATTTACTGATAGCCAATCAAAGTCCTCTACACCATAGGTAGAAATAACCAGTAGCCAATCAAAGTCCTCTACTTCGCATGTAGAAATACTCAATCCTTTAACAACAAATAGCCAATCAAAGTCCTCTATTTCGCATGTAGAAATAATCAATCCTTTAACAACAAATAGCCAATCAATGTCCTCTGCTTCGCATGTAGAAATACTCAATCCTTTAACAACAAATAGCCAATCAAAGTCCTCTATTTCGCATGTAGAAATAATCAATCCTTTAACAACAAATAGCCAATCAAAGTCCTCTACTTCGCATGTAGAAATAATCAATCCTTTAATAACAAATAGCCAATCAAAGTCCTCTACTTTGCATGTAGAAATAATCAATAGCCAATCAAAGTCCCGTTCTTCGCATGCAGAAATAATCAATCCTTTAACAACAAATAGCCAATCAAAGTCCTCTACTTCGCATATAGAAATAATCAATCCTTTAACAACAAATAGCCAATCAAAGTCCTAAAGGTTCTCCACACCACAGGAAGAAATACCAATAACCAATCAAAATTACGCAAGACTCAAATTAATAACAAATTATTTTAGTCCTGTATACCACAGACATTAACACTCAGCATCCAATGAAAACTAATTCCTATCACTTGTAGGGTCCAATCAACCCAGTTCCTATTAGTTTAATAAAAAAAATTCCAGCAACTTTTAAACTACATTATCATGGAATTGATATTAATTGCAATTCATCTTTAGCAGTTCAAACATTTATTTAAGAAATCGCCATGCTTTAGATTTGATAAGATCACATTACAGGAGACACATCCCCTCCTATAACTTACATGTATATTGAGGAATGCAGCTATCAAGAAGCATGATTTGCTTGTCTTATCTAAGTACAGTACATGTACTGTATAGGTAAACTAGTTTTATGATTTATGAAAATATAGAAAATTACAACATACAGCATGTATAACATATTTAATGTTTTGAATGGTTGATGTTTAGCTGAAGAAGATGAAGTTTGATCTTCAGAAGGCGGTGAACATCCCTATCAATGCTATATCGGCTGTTAGTGGGGCTCACCTGAGAGACAAACTGCAGCGCCTCCTGGTGTTACTGTCAGGTCAACAAGTGGAGATAAGCAATAAAAGGGTCTCCGTCAGAGACCACCCAGCTGCTCTACCATTCTGTAAATACCTCATTGCTAAAATGGTAGTGGTAAGTGTTCTATGTATATTTACCTAAAATAACCAAGTCACACAGCTTATATCGTAATTGGAATATTTACTGGGGTATATATTACACAATGGTGATAAGATCATATATTTATAACTTTCAATGTGGTCTTTTTGATTTTTTGAAAATTCTTCATATATCTGTTTGTATTTCATGATTTTTTTTTCTTGATTTATGCAATGTTTATGTATCATTTTTCTCTAAAATACATTCAGACAGAAAATTTGAATAGCATCTATATTTACTCTTTGTCCCATTAATAGTATTAAATGTAAAGACCTTAATCTTGCTGTTCTTTTGCTTATTTTCTAAAGAGAAAAGGTGAGGAGCAGGTGTCGTCTATCTTTGAGTCGGCCTTCCCCTTGGCGGCGGTGATGGTGGGGCTGCTGACCCAGCACCCAGACATCCGGGACCTCCTTCTGGCTCACTTCCACTCCCTGTGTCCCTACACGGTCCCCTACCACATCCCCCGACAGGACCAGCAGTCAACTGAGGAATACCACAAGTATGTACACAGTGAAAATGTGTGTTAAAATGTTGAGTGAAGGTCAAGATCTAGTAAAATGACTTTAGACTAATTTTTTGGTGCTAGATCCATTATGACGTCATAATCAATTTCAAATTTCTTTTTCCGGTACTTTACAGCTTTAGTAGAATTATATAGTAAATAGGGTATTTTCATGGCATTCAATTTGAAATCATACAAAAAGTAATCCTGATACCTATATCAAATTTGATATTATTTTAAAGAAGAGGACACAAACATTCAAATTACTGTTTTCTGAGAGACTGTAGGCAATCTGGATACATTTCCTTTGTCGAATATGAATAAAACTCCCATATTCCTGACTGTTTTTCTTAATTTTTCATTGACAATGAGTTTATAATATTGTTTTTCATTTTGTTTACCTATAAATTATGACCTGAAACACCTTATTTGACCAAGCTGAAGTTATAAAGCATCATTAAAGGATTTATTTTTCAAATTTGATACATCTGTAGGCACCTTTCATTTACTAGATCTTGACCTTAGCATGTATTAAAAAAGCACAAGTATACATGTACTACACAATCAGAACACGTGTTAAAATTTCAAAATTAGCATATTATTATGTGAATATTTTTTTTCTACCACATTACAAAAAAATATTCTTGTCTTATATGTGTACTGATATTACAACTAAATGAAATGGAAAATTCAAAAATGGGGAATTGCTGATCAAGCTACTTTTTCACCCAATTGTGATGAAGAGGTTATAAGTTACTATACACATGTACACCTATAGTTTTTTATGGGTTCTTATCTCAATATTATGAAATATAATTTTTTTTTTTTTAATTTAGATAAAGGATTAAATTCTTTATTTCATGCTTTTAAATTCATATGCAATGTTTCTTTACAGAGCACTGGGCTACAAATATGACAGTGACGGAAATGTTGAGAAACAGGACAAATTTTTGAAGCGAATGTCAGGGATTATGAGATTATACACCTCTATAATGGTCTCTTCTCCCCCGCGACAACAGAGTACTCACCCATTTGGGATTGAGCATGCATGGATATGGTTGTCAAGGGTGATGAACATTCAACCTCTTCCTGATGTCACGGCTACCATGGTGTTTGACCTCCTAGAGGTCACAGGACATGCTTTGTTTCACAAATACAAAAAGCAATTTCTGAAAATGCTTCATATATTGATACGCGAATTTCTACCCAAACTGAAATCAGTAGCATCATCAGGAGGAGGAGGTCCTGTATCTAGACTAGAGGCCCTGATCAAGGCTAGCATACAGAGACAGGGACAAATTCCACCACCAGAGGGACTACTTCCTCCTAACTTCTGGTCGTCATAATAGTAGAGGCCCTGAGAAGTCTAGCAGCGAAAGAAAAATCCCACTACCAGAGGTTTCCCCCTCCCTAACTTCTGATCTTGATACAAACTTGATAATGTACAGTGTGTACTTATGCACATAATGTTTATGTCAGTTAAGTACAGTAATCAAGGGCTGATGCTTCTTGACAAAAGAATTGCTATTTATAATCAAAATCAGGTTAGAACTACAATTTTTGTCAGCTTCTGATCTTGATACAAACTTGATAATGTACAGTATATACTTATGCACATAATGTTTATGTCAGTTAAGTACAGTAATCAAGGGCTGATGCTTCTTGAGAAAAGAATTGCTATTTATAATCAAAATCAGGTTAGAACTACAATTTTTGTCAGCATTATTGTACTATCATTGTAAAAACTGTTTTACTGATGTAGAGTTGTAAAAGAACATTAAATTCTAACAGTTTCTTGATTCAAAATGACCAGTTTGTACATGTATCACATGCTATTTTCAATCATGTTCATTAAATCATATTTATGAGATGCTTTGCTTAGTGCAAATAAACTGATTGCCATGTAACAAAGTTTAATTTGAAGTGTATTTTCATTTGCAGTTTGTACAGCAGTTCTATTACTTGTAGATTTTAACAGATGATTTAACATATATTGAAGCCTGTGTTAGCTCTAATAGTGAGGAGTTGCAAATTGGAAATTAAATTTTAGTAAATATGTTACATTGAAAAAAACATTTTGGAACTACATATTCATGTATAGCTGCAATAATGTAGCCCTCTCCCTTTTTTTTTTTTTTTTTTTTGGGGGGGGGGGAGGGCTACAACTCCTTAGGATCTTTCTAATGGCGCAGCTGCGGGAGTGATTTACTCCCGCACGGATTTCGGCTCAAATTAACAGTAAATGGCTATTTTATTAACATTTCTTACCTTGACTCCAAATAAGTAGTCATCCAAGACGTAAACCAATGCAAAAATATACAGAACGATCCCTATATCGCTTATTTTTCGTGTATGTCAACATCACAACTCGAATTTATCCGCCATGTTTACTGACCTTGATAGATTGTATTTTGGGACAGCCAATGAGAATTTAGGTTCTATAGGAGCGGATCTTTTTGGAATTCCCTTATTTTAAACATAAGTATCGCTGCTTGCATAAAAATAACACTTAAAATGGTTTTATATACCTATGTTTTTCAGGGGCGTAGCTTCCATTGTGGCAATGAGGCAGCTGCCTCACTAGATTTTTCAGCAACATCCCTTTCCCATAATTTAATACATCACAGAAAAGAATTGATTTGTTTTTGTTAAACCTAATTGTTTTTATTTATCATTTAAACAAATTAAGAAAATGTACTTTCATATCAGTATGTTCAGGGTCAAAATTCATGTGATCGGGTTCTAGTTGTAAAACACAGGCACTTGTTTCTGTAATAAAGTTTTGACCCATAGTATAATAAATTATTATACTATGGGTCAAAACTTTATTAAAGAAACAATCGCCTGTGTTCTAAAACGTAAAAGTAATTTTTGTGGGAAAATATTAAAATAAACATGGGCAAAATGGGGGACAGACGCAGTTGACATCCTTTCTAAGAAAAGAAAAAATTAAAGTAAAAAATTATAATGGACGTCATGTATTTCACAAACCCTGTAAACTAGTGAATAATTCTATTACTAGTATCTTTTCAAATGATGTCAAAATTCAATATTTAGATATTTAAAAATTGTGCTAGAAGTTCGAAAAATGCATTTTTTTTTACTTAAAATACGTTTAAATCCAGTGCGTACATGCAGTGTCATATGAATGGGAAATTCATTAAACGGGGGGGGGGGGATGCGAAATTTCTGCCCAGGACAGTATTATATTTACATTCTAAATCCCACAAATCCATTTTCCCTGAACCCCCCACCAGGGCTCCGCCCTGGACCTGCTGGGGGCCTAAGGCGGCCCCCAGACCCCCGGCCACAATAGTTTTGCCTCACTAGAAATTAAAGTCAAGCTACGCCCCTGGTTTTTGTGATGAAATTCAGCACATACATTTATAAATACAGATAATTGCTTTATTCAGTTGTTCTAAATTTCAAGCGAAAGTCTCATTACGTCACGCGTGAACTGTCATGGCTGCTGAAGTAAAATACCAGGAAACATGCAGAGTTATTTTACAAGTTTTTCGCATTTAACGGTGTCTACTGTTGACAGTGAATAAAAAATTCGTCTAATTAGAAGTAAGTTGAATGTAAAAATAATTTATTTTGCCTGCAGTCGCTCCTATTAAAAAAAAATATTTGCACCATTACGGAGATGCGATGGAATTGTAGCCCTCTCCAGAAAACATCAGATTAAAAAAAATCGGAGAGGGCTACATTATTGCAGCTAATTCATGTATAATTTGTATTTGGGTTTTGGAAAATCTGCTCCAACAATGCAACTAGTGACCCTTGTCACCTGTATAGTCTATGCAGCTCTAAGGAAAGATGAAATGGTGTTTGAGAATTTATTCCATAAAGAAATGAGAAGGACTTCTTTAACTCAACCTCAGTTTTAGGAATCAGTAGTTATACATTTAACTTTTTAAAGTATAAATAAAGGATGTAATTTTGAGAACAATATTTGTTGGTTGTAATATTTTTAATAGAATTGTTCTTACCTTGTAAAGGAAATGCACTAACAAATACAAATGCAAAAACTTTAAAGAGGTAGAATTCAATTATTGAGGTAAAACACAATCATGCAACATTGTTTAGAAAGGTAAGAGAAGGGAGGGGAGATTTAGAAGGGAGGGGAGATTTAGAAAAGTAAGAGAAGGGAGGGGAGATTTAGAAAAGTAAGAGAAGGGAGGGGAGATGTTATAGAGGAAAATATTGGACAGTTGTCATACATTTAAAAAATCTTACTAAAAGGCCAAAGTTTACACAGAATTTTTTATCCTTTTTCCTGGTTGAAGGGAAAGGAACTTTAAAATAAATATGTTTATACATTGGAGTACTTGTATTTGAATTTGTTGCAACAGAATTGGGGGGGGGGGGGTCAACAAACATTTTATACTAGATTATGCCAATCCCCCCATTCTTTTCACTTTCCGATACCACGTCCTTGAAACCGATACCAGTATGTTTACTGCCATCTTTGGAGCACACACGGACCACTGTAAAAATGGCATCACTGAAATCCAGTAGAAACGCTTTTTTTCAATGCGTAATTTTTCAAGTTCGCAAAGTAGTACCAAAGCTTGCAGTAATTCTGTAAATTTCTATAAAAAAATTAATAAAATTGGAAATTTCAAATGTGTAAGGTTCAGTTAGATATTTTTATGTAAACACAACAGTACATGGACTGAATAGTGAGGTATTAACACAGACTACAGATAAGCTCGTTCTCTTTTGGTTCCGTAAAGTTATCAACTTGATAAATTCTTTGCTCTATTCAAATGCTACAGGCGATTATATCTCCTTTCTGATTGTATTTCTTTATAAAATTTAAGGGAGGCACGATTTTGAAAGAAATGGTTTACATAGTGTCTAGTTATTGCCGCTGTACTATTGATTAAAGGGCAGGACTCGGGGAAAAGGCCATTCACGCAGGGGATGTCAACATATGATAGAACAGTTAAAATGAGCAAACTGCAACTTTCCTCAATTAATTAAATTCCGATGATAAAACCAAAAACAGTATATTCAGACGATATGTCTCTGTTTACGGATAGTTCCATTTACAAGCGAGTGGCCTTCGTTCTGTCCATACTCGGGCTGGCGGTGGAATTCCTAAGCTTTGTGTCCCCTTTCTGGATTTCTAAGACTTACAAGAACGGCACCGCGATAAATGTGGGCCTGTGGCTGACCTGTGTAAATCTAGACTGTACCGGCATCAGCAACAGCCCAGGTGAGTGTAAAGACCCTAAATTCTTGCAAAAGAGACAGTATTCTCATTGCAGTGTGGTAGAGCGATTATTTTCGTATAAATCATATTTTAGAAGACCAATCATTTTCATAACAATAGGCATGCAGGAGATCATACTTGAGTTACTCGGTATCAACTTGAAACAAATTTTAATTTCTTTGAAATTCACGACAACTTGAAAGAGTTTAGTCCGAAATATCTGACGTTTTCTAGGCCTTTTTTACGATTTTGATGTTTTACGTGCATGTAAAATATCAAAATCGTAAAAAAGCCAAGTTTACCATGCCGAGGCATTTAGAAACATAAGCTACCTTTTTCAAGATTTCAGGCACACACATTTTCATATTTTCTCAGACAAAAAAAAAATAAAGAATTAAAAAGGAAAGTTTGAATATAAGTACCAAAACTTTTTTTTTTATTTCTTTTTTAAAAGTTCAAAGGGGGTTCGATCTACACGTATATTACACTATATCTATATCGAGAAAGGAAGATCTTTTTCATCTCATCAGCATGTGGCGTTTATGTCTCCAAAACTTATTTGATGCATTCTCTGAAAATGATCAATTTTTAAGTCGAGACAGGCCACTGAGAGAAAAGTTGATATTACAGGGAATTCAACTACCTCATTTAAAATTGCCTTGCGTTAATTATGGTTGTTACATGTATAATGCACATATGTTATCAAATATAACCCATCACTGGGTCAATGTTTGGTTGAAGTATCTCATGCCAGATATTAGGCATTTTTAAATACGGTGTACTAAAAATTTTGTGTCCCTGATCAATAAACTAGCCTCACGGAGGTTGCACGTGTGATCGGTCAACAGGGGATGCTAACTACTTCTAGGCACCTGATTCCACCTGGATTTTCTGAAAGTCTGTGTTTTTATGTGCTATTTACAAATTTTTATTGTTCCTAGGGTTTTTGAGATCGAACAGAAAATCGAGTGTCTGTGGTTTCATATAAAATAAAAATATATTTTGTAAAATGTTTTAATTTTTAGCTTGGTTGACTGTGGCAGCTGTGTTTGATCTTCTGTCCCTTTTGTTCGGAGTGACATGTATCGTCTGCCTTTCTCTCTTTATCTTCAAACCCCAGTTTCTTCCAAAAACAAGAAGATGGCCGCTCGTCGTCATCATTATATTTTCATTCGTGGAAGGTTGTTATTATTTTTTTTTTAACGATTTTAATACTTTTTAAACTTCCGTTTCATGTTTCACATTGTTGTTTTATCTTATAATTTTCACGCATACATTTTCTGACAGTAATAAATTATTTATTTTTTAGCATTATTGCAGCAGATTGCTTGTGGTGTTTTCCTTAAGGCGGTACACGATTCCCCCCAGCCCTCGGGTCTGTTACCAGAGAACGCTTTCGCGAGTCTCTCGTGGGCCGCGGCCTTCAGCGTCATCGGCGTCATTCTCTACTCAGTCGTCTGCATCCTGCTGTTTACGGATCTCGTCAGAATATGTTTTGCTGCTACGAAATAAGTACTTCCATTCAAGGAAGAATGTGGGTTTACTGGTTACACTGTATATATATGCATATTTTTGTTGACAACCACCTGGCAAACCTATTAACGAGAAAACAACACATGTATAGATGATTATGTAGTTCTCATTTAGAACTCAAATCTTTAGGTGGCAGGCCCATGTAAAGTTTATTGTGTGATTGGAAATGTCAATCCCCAGACGCACTCGCATGTACGGGACAAGCTACTTATTTTATAACGTCGTATTGTGTGGATTTGAAAACTAGATTTAGAAACTAAGACAAGTTTCTTGTCTTTCGGCATAGTTTTGAATAATTTTAACACTTCACGACAAATCAAATAAATTCAATAAATATTTTTGTTTAAATTGCCTTACATGTAAATTAATTTCTAATTAGTTTTTAAGATTATATTGCGTTTCACACTTTCAGGACATTTTTGAGTACGATGGCAAACAAGTGACAAATAAGTTGATATTACGAAGATTACATTTGTTCGGTTTTATGCCATGTTCACGATTCCTTTTCTTGACTGGATTTACGAGTTTGATCAATGTCCCCTATTTTCACATTTTACATCAAGGATAATAGCTATTGTTATACTTTTAGAAATTAGTTCCTATACAATTTTTAATGTTTTGCTGAGCGGGCTTAAAAAATCGATGACCGCTTATTGAGATGTTGGACCTGTCGATAAGATGTTGGACCGCTTACGTCACACAATATGGGAGGAGCTTAATCTCATGTTTAACAGTGACGGACTTGATGTTTACATCTGACAGTACAAGATACATGTGTGTTAAAAAAATATTAAAATATTAAAATGAAAGGTATAAGGTACAACAAAACATTTATTGACTGTGTTCTCGGGCAAAAGGCGTTTTGATGACCCTCGAACCAAACTGTCTCGAACCAAACTGTTTGCCTTCAGCCTAACGGCCTCAGGCAAACAGGGTCCAACAAAACGCATGTTGCCCTCGAACTCAGTCAAAAAATGTATAATAGTGACTAGGTTATACCTAAAAGGAAAGAGAGAACACAACGAAAAAAAATAAAACGTAAGGGGTTTATGCTCAGATAATATAATGATTTCTTCAAAAACATTTTAAAGTAAATCTTTACTAACGTTTGATGTGATTTTTTAAAATTTCAATGTTTCTTCTTCATGCCAAATTACAGGCTTTTAAATATTCTATTTATGAGTATACATGTTTTTCAAACATCTTTCTGCAAATGTTGGAATGGGCAAAAACTATAATTTTTTTTTTTTTTACTTTTATGGTCAGAAGCAAGTATAAAGTCACTAAATTCGTGACTCAATTTTTTAAATTGAAAAATAAATTATTCACATGGCGCTTTACACAGGGAGTCTGTGAATTCAGGTAAAGCGTAAAATCCCTACTATTACCTTTTAAAGTCCACATCTGCAATATTATTTAACAATATGTCGAAATATAAAAAGTTAAGCAGGCAGCGAGACAAATTGACTGACGGCTAGATAGATGGATGACAAACTTTGATTAAAAACCTCACTTGAGTCTTTGTGGCCAGATAATATATCAAGAAAGACAAAGATATCATTTGGAATTTATTCTGCGGTAGTTTTTACAATACAAAACTGAAATACCTGATATAAAAAGGGAATGTGGATACAAAGAGGGAAAAGGACTTCAATTGATGAATTTCCACATCACTAACATGGGGTAATATACAGGGGGCTAAAGCCCTTCTAACATATAAAAATAAAAGGACGGAAATAAATATCACTCAAAATAAATTAATAAAAGCCATTAGAACTTTATCATATCATGGTTGGCTGCTGGTTTAATTATTTTTGTCATATGGTATGAGGTTCAAGTGAACCTACTTGAAGCTCACACCAAAGAGAACATTCATAAATAAAAAAAAACCTCTTGATCCCAACAATATTAAAATAACACACATCATGTAATAGAATAGTCAATGGGCCTTTATAAAAATCTGTCATTTAACAGAGTGCATTTAATGTGAAATAGAACATATTATCTGAGATTCATTATACAGAAAACCCCATAAATAGTCTATAAAAATTACTATATATATTTCTGCTCTCCAAACAACACTGGTTCATGGGAAAATGACACAGGATCAAAACTTATGGAGATTAAATTTGAGATGTCTGGGAATCAAATACTTTAAACATTCATAAAGAGAATTTTCAAATTTAGAAATGTTTGAAATAAATGTCTGAAACAGAAAATCAGGAGAGTAATTTAAAATTGTCTTGATAAACTTAACTTCAGCATAAAGCTTTTATCACTCCTGTAACAAATATGACTAGGATTTGGCAGATCTGACCCCTAAAAATGAATTTGTCTGGTGGACTAGAACAGCTGATAATTATCCATTATCTGAAAAAGAATAGTGAAACTGCAGAGGAATAAGGCACAGAGCTGTAGGGTTGTTTGACAGTTCATCACAGAAACACAGAATTGTAATACATATCTGTCTGTCTCAGACCTCAAATAGGCAGAAGGAAAGACAGACAGACAGTACATCACAGTATAACAAACACAACTCAGGATTGTAATATCAAGTATCTGTCTGTCTCAGACCTCAAATAGGCAGAAGGAAAGACAGACGGACAGGCAGATACTAAGACAGTACATAATCATACTAATTTAAGGCCATGGTATATCACTAATAAGGTCAAATAAAACAAAGCATCACAGGCAGAGTAAAATGCCCTAAAATTAATATTATTGACCAATGATTTCCTGATCAATTAACATGAAATTTGGCAGTATTACAAAGGATTTATACATGAACAAGTAAAATATGTCCCATTGTAATCACTGGACGGAATACTTGAGTACTGACTGGTCAACATACAAAATCAATATAGGACTAAAAACTTAGCAGTGTACATTATGCTTCAAGATGTCTTAAAACATTGCATATATTGTACTAATTTTACATGTATGTTAATATGAGTACCAGGTATTTTCAACAGTTTCACCACATTTGCACTGCACTGGCACTCAAAGTTGAACACTTTGTAAAATCTTACTAATTTATATGGATTTTGAAGGTCACATTTCCTGTCAGTTTATTTGACCTTGTGACCTTTAGACTCCGCCCATTGTTTTAACAAATAGTCTTGTTGAGTCAGCTGTTTTTCAAATTTAGCACACAGTGATTTCAGTTCTTTGATTGTTTGGTCTTTTTCTTTAATTGAGGCATTGAATTTTTCCAGCTTGGCTGTCATATCCTGGCAATTTGCGCAGTGTCCACCCTAGAAATTATAAAACAGATCTATAAACACCCATTTAGAAATACAAATTCAAGAAACATATTCATGTGTGCTTTTAGCAGCACGAATGAGGTTCTGATCAAATTTTGCCAGTCTGCTATTGCTTTTCTTTAATATATCAACTTTTCAAAAACCACTTGGCAAATTTCAATCAAACTTGGCACAGGATATTTTATTGTAAAGGATTCAAATATCATTTAAATGAAGGGCCTTGGCCTAAATCATGTTAAGAATAGGAAAATGTAATTGAATGTGTTCACTTGCACATAGTCAAGAAAATGTGACTCCAGTGAGTAATGTAACCTATAGACCTTTTATCTTATATCAGCACCTAACTAAAGTGTTGGTTTTTTACATTAAATTTCAAAGTACTTTTATTTTATAGTATCCTCTAAATATATGGACTGTAATCTCCTGTTTAAGAGCATCAAGCCTCTACAAGAGTGTTTGGAAAGTTTTCTTAGTGATGTTATAGGAGATACCTTAAATTTGGAGGCTTTGAGCCTAATCCTTAGAGTGTCACACTCCTCCTGTATAATTATAGGAGATACCTCAGATTTGGAGGCTTTGAGCCTCATCCTAAGAGCGTCACACTCCTCCTGTATAATTATAGGAGATACCTTAGATTTGGAGGCTTTGAGCCTCATCCTAAGAGTGTCACATTCCTCCTGTATAATTATAGGAGATACCTTAGATTTGGAGGCTTTGATCCTCATCCTAAAAGTGTCACATTCCTCTTGTATAATTATAGGAGATACCTTAGATTTGGAGGCTTTGAGCCTCATCCTAAGAGTGTCACATTCCTCTTGTATAATTATAGGAGATACCTTAGATTTGGAGGCTTTGAGCCTCATCCTAAGAGTGTCACATTCCTCTTGTATAATTATAGGAGATACCTTAGATTTGGAGGCTTTGAGCCTCATCCTAAGAGTGTCACATTCCTCTTGTATAATTATAGGAGATACCTTAGATTTGGAGGCTTTGATCCTTCTTCTGAGGCTTTGATCCTTCTTCTGTATAATTATAGGAGATACCTTAGATTTGGAGGCTTTGAGCCTCATCCTAAGAGTGTCACACTCCTCCTGTATAATTATAGGAGATACCTTAGATTTGGAGGCTTTGAGCCTCATCCTAAGAGTGTCACATTCCTCCTGTATAATTATAGGAGATACCTTAGATTTGGAGGCTTTGAGCCTCATCCTAAGAGCATCACACTCCTCCTGTATAATTATAGGAGATACCTTAGATTTGGAGACTTTGAGCCTCATCCTAAGAGCATCACACTCCTGTATAATTATAGGAGATACCTTAGATTTGGAGGCTTTGAGCCTCACCCTAAGAGCGTCACACTCCTCCTGTATAATTATAGGGGATACCTTAGATTTGGAGGCTTTGAGCCTCATCCTAAGGGTGTCACATTCCTCCTGTATAATTATAGGAGATACCTTAGATTTGGAGGCTTTGAGCCTAATCCTAAGAACATCACACTCCTCCTGTATAATTATAGGAGATACCTTAGATTTGGAGGCTTTGAGCCTCATCCTGTATAATTATAGGGGACACCTTAGATTTGGAGGCTTTGAGCCTCCTCCTGTATAATTATAGGAGATACCTTAGATTTGGAGGCTTTGAGCCTCATCCTAAGAGTGTCACATTCCTCTTGTATAATTATAGGAGATACCTTAGATTTGGAGGCTTTGATCCTTCTTCTGTATAATTATAGGAGATACCTTAGATTTGGAGGCTTTGATCCTTCTTCTGTATAATTATAGGAGATACCTTAGATTTGGAGGCTTTGAGCCTCATCCTAAGAGTGTCACATTCCTCCTGTATAGTTATAGGAGATACCTTAGATTTGGAGGCTTTGAGCCTCATCCTAAGAGTGTCACATTCCTCCTGTATAGTTATAGGAGATACCTTAGATTTGGAGGCTTTGAGCCTCATCCTAAGAGCGTCACATTCCTCCTGTATCCTGGCCAGCTCCTTTGTTAGCTCCTCTAACTGCTGCTGTCTCTCCCTGAAAAAAAACAAAATGTCTACATTAAAGAGGAGCTTGTGGACACAGATGAAAATCTCTACAGAGCATACTATGGAGTATTTCAATGCACATAAGTCTCTCTCTCTCTCTCTCTTTCTCTCTCTCATACAGTTCTGTGGTTTCGGTTTGTTATGCTATTAATGATATTTTCTGCATTATAGTTTGCCTTGTGCCTCTCCCTTCATATTATTAAGACTAAATGTGGTAAATAAGTTAACTTTTCACATCAGATTAATTTGGAATTAAACACATAGTAGGATTATTACTTAAGTAATGTGTACTCATATAAGAGCCATACCATGAATTCCCCTTTAAGGCATCTGCCATCTGGTTTTTTAACCTGGTTAGTTTCTCATCTCTAATCTTTATTTCCTTGTCTTTAGAGGTAGTGATTTCTAATATCTTTTCCTCAAGCTGAAATGTAAATTCAAATTTACATTAAACGATACAAAATATAAAAGTTCTTCTTTCATTTATACTTGGGTGTGATTAATACTTGAGCAGTAAGAGGATTACACATATTTTATTATTCAGTTATGTACTTCTGTAAACTCCCATTCAAAATCATAATGCCAGCCCACCAAAAACTTCTCCTTTTATTCATTTATGGACTTTATGAGATCAAAATTGATACAAAAGGTAAATAAAAAATTTAAAAGGACAAGGAATTAAAGAAATACATGTATACTCTGAATTTGGACTCTTCTTTTTTCATGCTTAGGTGATAGGGATAGTGTTCAAATACAGTAAATATTTTCCAACCATTTTTACCAAGAACACAATTTTAAGTTTATCTTTCACATATATCAATATAAAATCCATGTAAAGATATTTATACTTTAGCTATATTCATATTATATAACATTGTTATATCGCCTGTGAATATAACAACCTCTTTCTTGTGCTTGACGATCTGATCTTCATTCTCCTTGCGGAGTTTTTCGATCTGAGCTCGGAGTTCGTCGATTTCTGAGCGTGCTCCCTGTAATGACTGCTTTGTGGCCTCGTGTTCCGATTTCTCTTTGTTTATCTGTCCTGTGAGTGTTTCTTCCTGTCGACACGAGAATAAAACTTTGTATGCCTCTTTTTGTGAGGGGTATAATTTCAGACTACCATTTCTACAGCATTAATACAACACATCAACTTGTCGCTTCATCAAATTGTTTAACTTGAACCTGCCAACAGCACTTAATAAGACATTAAATTAGGAATTTTATTGATTCTTTCTCCACTCTGAATTTTAAAATGCAGGTTTAAGATGTGAACACTGTAAATATTCTGATGCATTGATTATAAACCCCTGACCTGTGTTTTTAATTCGGATCTGAGTGACGCGATTGTCTGCTCCCCCTCCTGTATCTGCCTTCTCAGTTCTTCTATCAGTTTTTTCAGCTCTGCAATCTCTTTCAATAAATCCTTTTCCCTCGCCTGTTAACATTAAAATCAACAGATCAATCTGGTGAAGTACCTGCTAACACTAAATAAACTGATCAATTATTGAAGAACAATTATACACCCATCATAGGATGGCAAAGTAAATATGTCAATGGTCAATTGAAACCTTTTGTCAAGAAAATAATAAACTCTGCTAGAACCATAAATTTAGTTTGAGGCATAGATCAGTTTGGTTTATTTATAAACTGCTAAAGCAAAGGTTTATCAATTGTTGAATAGACTTTTCTGCACCAAATAAAAGTGAGAGAGGTGAAAAAGGTCCCCCAGTCTCTAAAAGCTAGAAACAGTGGAGTACCGGGACACTTTCCATTTAAATTTTGAATAAGAGCCTTGTTTACTCTCTGTAAGCATTTTTTGCACCTTTGTGTTGTGTTATATTCTTGGCTAATTATTTTACTCTGTGTAGAGAACTGAGAATTTGAGGCTGGGTACACATAAGTCCCCAGTCTTCTGAGCTCTGGAGAAGCTAATTTATAAAGTAAATTATTGATTTCACAAATCCCAGTCCTTTCTTGTGCTTTTGAAATAAGCTTGTATATATACAGGAAAATGAAATTATATATAGAGATTTAGAACTACAAGACCCCACCAATGAGAGATAGTTGATTAAAAATTTTCCTTTCTGAATCAGGACACAGACGGAATCTGATTAATTTATTCAAGGTTTTAACACTTTAAGCTTGGTAAACAATGTTTCAAAGTGTATGCTAAAATTTAATCAATTTCAAAGTCAAAAAATGATAACAATGTTTAAATTGACTTTGGTAAATTCCACAAAGCTGACTTAAAGTTGGCTGTTACAATGAATACACAATTCTGTTACCATTCAGCTCTTGGTCTCTCAATTAATGAGCAAAGGATCAAATGTAAATTAAATTTTAATATATATCAAATTTATTTTAGATTTGAATGGTCCTTTTATATGCAAATTCTCAGTATATCCAACTAACTTTCAAAAGAGCAGCTTTGATGTTGAACATAAGCTGGGAAGGAGAAATCATACTGAACAGAAATCAAGTCAGTACAGTACTATATTTGGGGATGGAAAGGACTGGTGCAGAGAGGGAGAGCTATCTGTGCCCCACCTCCCCAAAATAAAATATACATATCACATTTTCAAATATTTCATTGCAAAAAAAGTCACAAGATTCAAGAAGCTTCCAGTGGACATTTTAACTCATCTTGATATGTATTTAAACAGATTTTGAGGAGGGAGGTTCATTTCGGAGACCAGACGAAGCACTTGAGTTGTCTTGTGGATTGTTTTTAGGTCGGTATCTTGAAGCATCTAGAATGTTTGAATGGGATCCCTGAGTAAACACAGACAAATATTAAACACAGATAACCAACTGTTCCAGTGTACCAGGTACTTGTCATTTAACTTGTAGCCTGGTAAATACCAACGAACAAACCTTCACACCTTATACAGCAGCAAAACTTATACAGGCTGAATTTATTTACTGGGAAGTAGAACTCTTTCTTAAAATACATCAAAAATGCAATTAAACATTCCATTAGGGGAAGCTTTTGTTGATTACCTCATATCAAGCAATAAAAATCTTATCTCTGTATAAATCTCTCTGTAATTTAAAAACAAATAATTAGATTTGCTCTGATAACATTTTATGAAATGAGATTGATTTACAAAGAACTGAAGCGGTAGTTTTCCTTTATTCCTCAACTACTTGACTTCTGACTTGAGAGCAAAAAAAATTGTTCAAATGTCTGAAGGGACAACAAAGTATCCAGTTATTTTGACATTCCATAAGCATAAATTGCTTTGAAGTACACATATTTAGGTTAAGCATCACTGCACGAGCATGTGCATAATGAAAAAAATTAAATGAATATACCGGTACAAAGTGGACTGCCTTAGTTTTAGAAACATTTTTGTTTTACATGAAAGGAACAGTTTATTATTAAATATTTGGGAAGACATTTATAACCATTAAGGTCAGACGAGATGTTCCTCAAAATCTGTTTTGTACATCTTTGTAATGTATGAAAAATATTCAAAATTTTAATTACATTCTGATCTCTAAACCAGTTTCTTAACGTCTTTAAAAAATCCAAACACTTAAACATTTGAAATTGGAAAATTATTTTTCATCCCAAAAGGGTTATATAAGAAAAACTACCCCTGGTATCTTGCAGAAATGTCTGGTTAGGTACCTCAAATTTTTGTTAGTAAACATGTTTAAGTAGCAATACTTCAATGACAAAATCTTGGAACATTTTATCTATTATTAAGGAGCGTCTCGTCTGTCCATATAGATAATTTTACTTATTATATATAAACTTGTAGTATATTTCTGATAGGGTGGAAGAAATAATTTTGTGCAATACAAGCAACTATACATGCAACATGAAAAGTTCAAAACTCTTTAAGAACTTTAGTTAGTTGTTGAGTATACAACCATACTGTAGATATACATGTACATCATCTGAACTCCCTTAGAATAATGAGTAAGTGTCTGAGTGAACACTTTAAATTTCCATATAACTACACTTTACCCATTTTAAGCATTGTTTCCTGATATGTCAAAATATTTTCATAAAAAAAACAACAAAAAAAAAACAAATGCCCTGATTACACCATGATAAATACTTTTGTATTATACTTTTCCTTTGGAAATGAAACATCATAATTGTATGTACATGTAGATACCCTAATATAATAACTGGAACATCTATACTACTACTAGAATGATGGTTAATTTTTACCTTTGCATCCTGGAGTTCCTTCTTATACTCTGATTCCTGGGACTTTGTGCTGGAGCCAGAATCGGATTTAGCTGATTGTACTTTCACTTTCTCCTCTTTCTTTTCCTTCACCGGCGGCACCGCCATGGCGTTCCCGAGTATTCCCTGGTTATCCTTCTCCAGGTTTACTTTAGAGGTGACAGATGAAGCTGAAGGAATGTGTGGGATTTTCTCACTTCCTCCAGATTTTAGGTTGGCCCTGATTGACCCTAGAGGTCGGAACCGGCCTCTACCATTGTGAGACATGGTTCCCAATCTTTCTACGATTTGTGTTTTTCTATGACCTTTCACTGCATGGTACCTGACACTTTCATTCTATGGGAAAAGCAAGACCTAAAATAAATTTAATCATACGTATTAGTTTTTATTGGAATATTCCATCTTAGAATTTTGAAGATACATTTTTTGTGTGTGTGTGCATAACCTTGCACATTTTGCTGATTATGGATGAAGTGCAGCTTATGACTTACGTGTGGTGAATAAGTTAAGATTTAACGCGTATTCATGGACATCACTCTCTTCAAAGCTATGATTAATGGAATCGTTATCGATGTACGAATGAAAAGGTTTACAAAATTCATTAATCAATTAACAACTGATCGATTAATTAACTAGAAGCTGAAAAGTCTCTGACACAATTTTATTTTACTAAAGCCGAAAGAGTTTATCATGAAATATTTGCAAGAACTTACCTAGAATAAAATCACATCCCTTAAATCTCTTACACATTCGCAAATAAACAACCATTTAGTCTTCACATACGTGCCGAATGATCGGTTCATCGAGCACTTGCTTTTGGCGTCTTTTGTTTCCAAGATGTCCTAACAAGCAGATGAAACGAGTGATTTGATTGGACAGTTTGCCTTAAAAAGTTAGATAACTCAAGGTTTACAGCAGTTATGCCCCTTTGACTACAAAAGCTCAAAGTTGTCCTCGGTGGAGAAATACTCTTCTCCAACTCGTGTAAATTTATTTTTAATATATAAATAAAAAAAATATATTATATACTTTAGAAAATAAAGCATATTATACGAATGTTTTTATTTTTAATTTTTTAATTTTTTTTTTTGAATTGGCCATAACTTTTGAATGAGAAAAGAAAGGGCTGTTACAACGCACTTTGAAATTTTTTTTCAAAGTTCGTAAAATTTGGGACCAAGTTAACGCACTTTGAAAAAATAATATTTCTTTTCAAAGTGCGTTAATACCGACCATATCAACGCACTTTGAAAAAAAATATGTGCAAGGTATAATGTTTTTCAGAGAGATTATCAGAGAATCAGATGGTGACATATGATATCTGACACCAGTTTAGCAAAATGAACATTATTATTATTAATTTTTTTGACAATGAACATAAAAGGACTTTCAGTTTGAAAAGAACTAAAATTACTAAGGACTTCCTTATACTTTTTTTCTGTATTTATAATTTTCTAATTTTTTTTCAAATATGACCATTAGGGGTACGAGAAATGCCACTATATGGGTTTCAAGTTTTATATATGTGCTCATTGAAAATAATTTTCCCGCGCAACATCATGGTCTTTTTATAGTTACTTTGGCCTTTTTTATACAGTTATTTGAATAGTATTAAGAGGTACGAAAAATATTTCTTATGCATTTTATACATTCATTTTTATTTTTATTCTATTCAATTTTGTAAAGCTACTTTGGCCAAAGAATAGTCAGTTGGTTAGATCAGCTATATGGCTCTGGAGCCTCTCTTATTTAAAATAAAAGTGTGCATTATAATTATTCTTTTTTCAGGAAAGCTTAAAGACCTTTTTTTTTACCGTACGGTTACCTGAGGTGGGGGAGTGGTCTAGGTAACGGTGGTATTATTTACCTGGAGACTCCCAATACTCAAGATGTCAAAAATCTGTGTACACCTGCTCTATTGTCATTTTCATATTTGTAATACGCTCAGTAAGATATCCAGAAATCCTTTCTCCTACTTAAACATTAAGAAATAATTTGAAAAAATGAATATCAGCCATTTTGAATCACCATTTTGACTTATAACTTACAGCTGCACCATCATTCAGTTGTAGAATAGTGAGATGCAGAGGAAAAAACAGAAATCTGCAGTGTATGGATATCTGCAAAGTAAAAACCTGAACAAAGCAGAATATAGAAACAATAGACAAATAAATCAGAGAAAATTCGAATTAAATGTAGAAACGACTAAATTTTCTGAGTTAAAGTAATAATAGTAACAATCTTTTAATCATTTTCATAGTTGCATTACACTCAGTGAAATAATTCACACATTATTTCTCTGCTTTGAACGACATTAAGAGAAAATTAGAAAAATTGGATGTCCGCCATTTTGACCTTTTTAACGCCATTTTCAAGAAGGCCAGCTTATTTTTTCGGATTCAGCATACTCGAAATAGCTTAAAAAACTATGCAGGATCAAATAATAATTAATATTTGCCGTTAGAAGTAATTTCTAGCCCTCTTTTTTACAAATCTGGACCAGACTATGTCCCAAATTTAACACATTTTGAAAAAAAGTGCGTTAATTTTGTCCCAATTTTAACGCACTTTTAAAAAAATTTCCATAGTGCGTAATTTTTTCAAAGTGCGTTGCCACAAATGTTAGGCTTTCACATTTCACATGTATATTATCTTTGACAATACCTTTCTAAATACATTATGATTTTTGACCCCGTGACCTTGAATCTTGACGTTTTACCTATTTCTAAAAAAAATATTTTGTCCTTAAAGAAGAGATCAAGCTTTCATATCTGACATGTGTATTAGGCATACTCGTGACAAAATATAAGATTTCTAACCCCTTGACCTTCATGTTTGACCTAATTTTTAAAAAATCGACTTTGGTTAAAACTTTTGAATGACATAAAACATTCATATTAATTTGACAAAATATGCCACATTTAATGACAAGTTAATCTCAACGAGATGTCGTAGGGACTAAAAATTTTGGTTTGACGTCCACTAGGACCGACATTTTTAGTCCCTACGACATCTCGCTGAGATTAAATGACATTTTGCAATACAGATCTAGACACTAAAAGTTACTAGTTTCGCTTGACACGATTTATTTGGATCAAAGGGCAAATTGATAAATTAGATAAATACGGATTTGTGGATAAAGTTCTTGATTGACTGAGTAAATTGTATACACAAAAATTAAATTTCCTATACTGGTATTCTCGGTCGAGAGACCAACAGAAAAAGCCTTTCCTGAGCGCTGTTTTATAGGCTCTTCTTCTGTGTATACTTACATTTTATCTCAGTACAGTATAGCTAGAATAAAATTCAAATCTTGACGGTCAACGAACTAGATATCGTCTCACAGCGAGTTTCTGTCATCTGTTCTCACAATTATATCATCTCATCTCAGCGTTACGAATTACGAACATCTCATCTCACATTAAGTTACGAACATCTCATATAAGAGTAAGTTAGGAACACCTCATCTCAAAGTAAGTATAACTAACATCTCATCTCAGAGTAAGTTACTGTAACATCTCATCTCAGAGCACGTTACTAACATCTCATCACAGAGCAAGTTACTAGCATCTCATCTTAGAGCAAGTTACTAACATCTCATCTCAGAGCAAGTTACTATCATCTCATCTCAGAGCAAGTTACTAACATCTCATCTCAGAGTAAGTTACTAACATCTCATCTCAGAGTACATTACTAGCATCTCATCTCAGAGTAAGTGAATAACATCACATCACAGAGTTAGTTACTGATATCACATCTCAGAGCAAGTTACTAACATCACATCTCAGAGTAAGTGATTAACATTTGATCTCAGTGCAAGTTACTTACATCACATCTCAGAGTAAGTTACTAACATCTCATCTCAGAGTAAGTTACTATTATCACATCTCATCTCAGAATAAGCGACTTACATCTCATCTCAGAGTAAATTACTAATGTCTCATCTCAGAGTAAGTGACTACCATCTCTCAGAGTAAGTTACTCACATATCATCTCAGAGTGAATTACTTCACATCTCAGAGTAAGTTACTCAATCAATCATCATCGCAGAGTAAGTTACTAACGTCTCATCTCAGAGTAAATTACTAACATCTGATCTCAGAGTAAGTAATTTAAAACATCTCATCTCAGAGTAAATTACTCACATCTCATCGCAGAGTAAAGTCCTAACGTCTCATCTCAGAGTAAATTACTAACATCTGATCTCAGAGTAACTAATTAACATTTCATCTCAGAGCAAGTTACTATCATCTCATCTCAGAGCAAGTTACTAAATTTCATCTCAGAGTAAATTACAAATATCTCATCTCACAGAGAATAATGTCATAATTTACTATAATCTTACAGATACAATTATATCATCTCACAGTGAGCTACTGTCATCTCATCTCACATCGAGTAACTGTCATATAATCTTATATACATGTACTTACTTTGATCATTTCTTACAGATACTGTCATTGTATCTCACAGTGAGTAAAGTCATATCGATTTACAGTTATTATCACCTAATCTTATAGTGAATAACTGACATCTCATTTTACAGCTATTATCATCTCATCTCACAGCGAGTTACTGTCAGTTCACCTTACAGTTACTGTCATCTCATCTCATGAGTTACTAGCACATAATCTAACAGTAACTAGCTCTGCTGTTCTTTAGATCATACTCTCCTCTTAGGGAAAGTTTTTTGTAAGGCATTTATTAGCAAAATCTCGATTCCGCTAAGTTCTTTTGGGAAGAAAAGCTATTCGCAGAGATGCTGTCTGGAAGTACGTGCATAGGTTTAAGATAAATGACATCAATATTGTGACATAATTTTCGAGTGATTTTCACCATCTTCGCTATCCAAGGCTTTCAGTTAACACCAGGCAAGGGTTTTTGGACCACTCCGCTTACTATTATATAAACCAAAGGGTTTATGGGGTAAATCCTTGGCTAGCGAAGATGGATTTTCAAAAACCATCAATAATACTATTTTAAACTAGTATTAAGATTAATTATGGTTATATTTTGTTTTAAAATTCTAGAGTGTGATACTATATCAAAGCTCACGTGTTTTTACCTTATATGTGTTAATCTCAAATGTATCAACATGTTAATCAATCTAAAAGGGTTTTATAAAAATAAAAATCGTAATATTGACTTGAAATTAATGCTGCATCTATAGATTTATAAATTTTTCATGGAAGTTCAGGGATCAACAAGATGAGCGAAAATGCTCCTGGCGCTTGTGTCTTAGCATCAGAGGAATTCTTCATTCGGAGGAGAATGACTTGATTTGTCCCTCTGTTGTCAATGCATCTTTGAAAGATTATTGAAGTAAAACATTTAAATCTGACACGACATGTAGTATAGTATTCGTGTATAAAACACAAGTGATACAATTTACAAAAGCAATTAAAGAAAGGGTAATCAGACCTGGACCATTCCATTGATTTTAATATACTTTATTAAGCATTTCTATCGATTTAACTTTAAATTGGTCCTTGAGTCAACACTTTTAAATGAAGCAGTAATGCTGGCTTTTGATTGTGTATACTTTAAAACTTTACATGGACCGATCTTTAAATTACTAGAAAGTTGACACTGCGGTTTAACTCTGTGTGGATCAATTTTCTTTATTTCCGTGGGTTGTCTAAGACAACATGGTCACAGGGGGACACTCAAGTGAAGTTTCTGGAGTTTATTGAAATACCAGGACTACATTCAAACACGTTCAACTGAATGGTGAGAGGGAAAACAGATTTCTCGTCTCCCGGAAATAGAGAGTTATTCAAACACTGCATCTTTGCGAAGTGAGTACGTTACTATTGACTTGGTATTCGAATGACAATGTATATAAAT